GAGAGAGAGAGAGAGAGAGAGAGCTGTGGCGTACGATGTTCACGGCACGGCTGCTCGGTGCGAACTATGATAGTTCCTGACTATCGAAATAGATATTCACCTCAGGCGCTTCGTTTGAATTGGTGGAATTTGTCTGTTTTGAAGTTGTGAGTTTTAACATGGCAGTAATTACAATATTTCAATATTACATTACTATTGCCATTAATGCGAGAAAGTTTGTGGTGTTGTAGTACCTATAGTTTATGTGTTAAGAGTGTTACGGGTATGCAATATCGACTTTTTTGCCATTGAACAAGTTTTATTGTTTTTTATTTGTAATGGCGTTTAGGTTGCAATTTATGAATGTTAGGTTATTACAGAGATGAACTACCATAAGTACTTACCATAAGTACTACACTCCTTAAGTAAGAGAATAATTAGTTTTTGTATTGTTGTAATGATAGAAAGAGTTAATGAAATTGATGATACATGATGTTTTTGTATTGATTATTGTGTTTACAAAGGGAATGCTTGATTGGGAGATGTGTGAATTACTATCAGGCTGTGAGTTTTGTTCTGAGGCGGGTCATTGTTAATGTTGAGGGGTTGAGTTGTTTGCAGGTACATTGGTTGCAGATTTTTTGGGGGTAGGGGATATGATTTTATGGTTGGAAGTAGTTTTATTCATTTCGTATATAATGCTGAATGCTAAAAGACAATCTCATTATCTATAATCTGTTTTATATTCCCCTTTTCAATTTTCGCACTTTAGTGTTGGATTTTAACTTTGTCATGCAACTATATAGTGTTTTCCTACCCAATAAGCACAATTTATTACATAATTACAATTATTTTGTGTGTGTCCGTAGTCAAGGTATATTTGACACTGAATGAAGCCGGAAGATCTTTGTCTTCTTTCTGTTTTACTTTATGATTTGATTACATATGGCCTCTAATGATTCATTCCCGCTACATTCTGCTGCAACAACTGGAATGTGTTCATTTTCTTTTAAAATTCTAGTACTTTTAATAATAGATAGGTAGTTGTTTTAAATTTTGTACAATTCCCAGTTTGGAAATAGTTTGACTAATGCCTTTAAAAAGACACGATAACACTCTTTATCGGGTCTTTGTAAGTGTAAGAGTGTTTCTGTGCGCTAATTAGGTGTTTTACCATGTTTTTAAAGTCTGTGGTAGATGAGGCAGTTTTTTTTCTGATTTCTAAAGTCTGCAATTTGTAAACACTTTTGATTTTAGTTATTTGACAAAATTATTGATATTACGAATTTTTGATACACAAAAATGCAAGGAATTTTGTTGCGCGGTGAAGCGCCTTTTGAATTGGGGCGCACGCGGCGGGGCAGCGCGCGTCTCGGGGAGTGTCAGCGGAGGGGAAAGTTGGCAAAGAGTCCAAAATCAAAATATGCTTCAGCAGCTCCATTGCACATGAAAGGGGTAGAAACATGTCTCCTGCATTGTTCCCCGATCAGGAAAGGAAAGAGGAATCACGTCACTCCTTTCAGTGCAATTTTGAACTTGCAAAAGGGTGGCGCGGCGCACTTCTCTCTCGCGCTAAGAAAAGAGGTGTGTTTTTCGATGTAAAGAGCTTTTCTCTCTCGAGCAGCAAAATTGAATGTGCTATAGACTTTGAGGTGTGTACTTTAAATCTGAATTAGTAAAAAACATATTCCTTAAATAATAATTTGGTAATTCCATGTATAAACTTAACGCGTCACAATGGAATGAAAGTTTTAAATCCGATTTTTCATAGTGTCTTTTAGTTACTTTTCGGGCGTTTCTGGACAATGATATTAACTGAATCTGGTTCAGTAATTCATCTAGTTTGTAAAACATTAATCAAAGTTTGCACATGTATGCCCCATTTTGGGTTAAGAAATTTATTCATAATGGTGCACACAGTTTTGTTAGCCTTCTTACCTACAATATTTTTTTAAATTCTTAGTTCTTGATCAGGTGCTGAGGGCTCTTTATTAACAAGAGCAAACTATTAAGGAAGTGCTTCGCAGGATGTTAACTGTATCTGACCCACTGATTTCAGAAATGGAATAGAGAAAATTGTAGCAAAGTATCTGTGCTAGAAGTTACACAAATGTTAACGCTTTCAAGTAGAAATTCACTTCACGCAAATACTTTTTGCCAAATTTCCCCCTTTCTGGCTCCACTGTCTGGCATGACATCGCCGCTACTACAAGAGACGCGGCAAGGGCAGGCAGTCACAGTAGCACAGTCACACAGACACGAGTGAACGGCCGGCTGTCGAGAGACCGGTCGACTGCCAGTCAGGTGCCGAGCCGGGGAGTGCTCGGGAGAGGAGCTTCGCCGACAACATCCCAGTTGGAAGCATAGCTATAGACGCCCGGGGACAGACCCGAGCCGGGGAGGCGCTCGGGAAAGAAACTCTGCCGGCTTCAGCCGAGTTGGAGGGCCAGTTGGAGTAAGCTAGCCTCCCCCTTTTCACAACACATAAAATTTTATTTGTTTTGTTGGATTATTTCACTACTGCTTGCCTTTATTAAAATCTGTTTTTTTTTCGAAGCTTAGAGTTACTTCACTTAAAGACCCGAATTTGTTTTGCACAGGTATGTCAGAATTTAAAATTGTTGGGCCTGAATGTTCACTGTCAATTACAGAAACGGCACTTTTTTCTTCGCATCGTGTGTATTTTGGGAATCTCGTACTGACCTTTTTCAATGTTCATTATTATTTTTTGGTATTTGGGTAGCCGTTGCGTCTGAGGTTGTTGAGTACAAAAGTTAGAAAGTGGTTATTAAAGTATACAAAATATAGAACATTGTTTATAGAAGGCTTGAAGCTTGTCCTAGCAAAAACACTTTCAACCTTGGCCGTACAGATCATGCACCATCTAGGATATTGTCACGCTTAAAGCCACCGTGAATTACTGGTGAAAAGGTTGAAAACATTATATATGATTATAATAACTTATATGTGTCTATTCACAAGTGTGGTATTTTGCTCAATTCTATATTATTGTATAAATGTAAATAGGAAGATGTAGATTGATATAGATATGTAGATAGAAACATAAGCTCAAGTAACTGATGTAAATGGAAGAGACTTTTGTTTTCATGTAATGTATATTTTGTAAAAAAAACTCCCGAAAAGCCTGAAACGGCTGGGAAATATTTTTTTAAAGAAATTATTTTTCTTTCATTGTAAATCTCAGGAAACTTTTCTCGTAGAATATAATGATTACCATTTTTTTAAATGTCGGAGATTGTTTAGAAGATTCTCTGAAAATAATAGTTTTCGAGCACCGTCAAAGCATCCAACACAGTCCAATTCAATAACACAAATGGGGATATTTCAAGCGCTTGAATGAATTCAACTTCAATTTAAAAAAATTCAGCATAATTTATTGCTGTTGTAAAATGTCGTACGTAGTAGAATTGACACATAAATACATATCACAGAGCCCATACTTTCACATAATCCACTTCTAAGTCTGATTTCCATGTCGGTAGCCATATTTCTCTGGTCCTCCAAAAGTTCAGAGGGGCCTGAAATACAATATAAAGAATGTAAAGAGACTACTGACTATAACAATCAGAAACCATTATTAATAATATTAATAAATGTCGGAATGATACACGTACCCTAGGATCTTTGTCAACGTAAACATCTGACTTTGGTCGACCGTCAGTTTTGGCCTTGTCGTCGTGCAAACCAAATCCTCCCGGAACGAGACTGAGGGTGACATAAAACTGAATGGCAGAGAAAATTATTAATATAATGACACTACGAGAAGATAATGATCGAACTGGTTTATAGTTTCGCACAAAAACTTACCTCTTGATCAAAAGGTACTAAATGTGTACCCTTTTCCCATGGACTATTTTCACAATTGTCTTTGAAGTATCCATGCTTCAGAAAACTGCCATGTGGGGGTTTTACTTCATGTTCGCAATCATCCAGTCTTATTTTGAGAGACTCTACAATAAAATATTAATCACTTATAGAACACATGTTGTGTACATATATCTAAAACAGTGTTTAAAAATTTTATGAAAATAATTATGCCTAACAAAGTACTGACCATTTGACAAATTAATTGTCAAATAATAATTTAATGCATTCCATATTTGGACCACTCTGTCACAATCGCACCGGACTGACTCATATTATTTGCAATCACAAATTACGGTTACTAGTGAACATTGGAGTTGAAAAGGCACCTATGGTAGTCTTATTATAATTACAACTTCAGTAAATGAATCGTTGTTTGATCGTTATTTATTTCAAATCCCTCAAATATGCACTGATAGTATATAATTTCATTTTCATTACATTACTGTTCCTGTGTGTACTTCTATATCTTTTGAATTATTTGTTTATTAATTACGAAGTTTCATTAAAGCATAGTTTGAACTCATTGTCTTCTTTATCTGATTAAGTGATGACTGCAATAATTATTATTATTATTATTATTATTATTATTATTATTATTATTATTATTATTATTATTATATCAACGCCAACATTCGAGCCACAGTGTAAACCGTAGAAGTGATTGATTTCACATTAAAGATTAATAATCAAGCAAATACATATCCGAGGTGGGACTTGAAAACACTATTTAACGCAAGTGACTAAACGAACTCGGTCACGTAACCTTCACTATTAAATAATGTAATGAATTTAGCTTTCTTATTTTAAGTAATAAGTAGGGGCGGATTGTAATGAAATGTCATTCTTTGTTTACACTTTAGAACAATGTCGTTTAGTAGAAATTCATCTTCTGTTATGATAAAACCAAATGACCCATTTTTATATCATTTTTTTGCATTTTTCGTCGATTTCGACTAGTAAGTCTTTTTTACCTTTTTACGTATTTTTTAATGCATTTTTTGCTAATTTCATAAATTATAATACCATTTCAAACAATATTTATGAGTTGCAACAAATGTACAGTACTGAATTCCTGAGTCGTCTATTCGATTTCCTCGCTCATATATTGTAATGTCAGCCATTGTGAGTACAATGTAATCTAAGGTTCCTGTCACGCCTATCGGTGCCATTGTTAGTTCGGCCAATTTTGTGAAAAATAAATCGAGAGATTTTCTTTTAAAGAAGAGTCCAAACCAAATGTTTTCAAGCCGAGTTCACTTGAACATGAGGAAGAAGCATCGATTTCATCAGTAACATACTCAACATCTTAGTTCTTCATCTGAAGTGGTTTTGATAAACAAAATACGTCACTTTTCTTTGTTTTTAGGGAATTTTTAGAGCATTTTATTGATAATTTTTGGCAATATTTTGGGTCATCAAAATCCGCCCCCTTATAAGCTTTTACTAGATCCTACTTTATTATTTCACTTATTTTTTTGTTTCGTTCTATATCTCTCGGGGCAGAGTGCAATTGTAACACTTCAGAGTAAGATTTCAAGGAGTAAGTTCAAGTAATGTGAATTTAAACTTTAATTCTAATATAGCATAATTTCATTTTCTTTTTAACAGATATAATTGGAAGAAGAAACCATGAATTTCTGCCAAACTATTCTAGGGTACTCACCGGGGGTCCAAATGACGGAGTATAGGTGCATTTCGTCGGAGTACTTTTTGCCATTGAGTTCGCAGCCTTTGAAAATGAACAATGTCCGGTGACACGTGGAGATATCGGCCTGCAAGACGCTGAACCTAGCGCCGGCGTCCAATCCGCTTGGCTCCACCAAATTCGCGTTGCCCCTGATTTTGGAAATCAGCACTTTGCCCGATTCAGCGGGCGCGCGTCCGTACACCTCGGCCAGTGGTTCTAAGAGGAGTCCTGTAACAAACATTCTTTTGGAGAGACTTCAGCAAGAAAGTATCCATTTTTAAAAAAAAGGTTTATTTGCTGTTTAGCATTGCTTTTATTTTTTACTTAGTTGTTGCTTTTGAGCTACCATCCACTTAACTCCTGTAGATTATTACTACTTGTTATTTATAATAGTTCTCTGTTTTGCATTGTTATTGTTACGTTTACGTTTAATAGAATATAACAAGCTTTTATAACATTCACATTTACAAATGCTTATAAATAATATACACCACAAAAATACACTGTACATTTTTACATCTAGATATACGTATATACATTCAAAAATTCTATTTAAACTACATGTATGAGTGAATATTTTATATTCTTAAACTGAAATTTAAAAAAATCTTTTTACATAGTACTTACAGCACGATCCTATATCAGGGAGGGAAAGATAGAGGGAAAACAGATTGAATTCATAGAACGGGCGAACATCTCGCAAGCTTCTAATATTTGAAGAGCATAAGTACAGATAAAGAGGATTCTTAACAAAATGACGGCAAAATGCTCAATGTATTTTTTCATAGTTTTTGAGTTTAAGTTCCCATCGGTTCAAACTATAGATTATTTGGGTTTAGCTTGTGAAAATTGTATTTTGTTAAGTCAGTATGTTTTAGAACACCAGCTATTTCTGCGTAATTGATGCTCAGAAACATTTTTCGTTGGGTATTGATAGGTTCATATCTTTCAGAAAATGTGATTTTGAATGAAATGAACAATCCGCATTGAATTATATCTTCACAACGGAGAACGATCAGTTAGTTTTAATTGAACGAATTGAAAAATAGGTACGTATATTTTGATGCTGTCCCTAAAACATTTAAGTCCTGGATGTTTTTGTGTCAGTGTCAGTCGTTGCAATTGTGTCAGTCGGGGCATTTGTGGAAGGTGTTTAATAGTAAACTTCGATTCCTATTTTTGTTTATTTTTTTATTTCCTCAAATTATCCAAATTGGAAATATAATTGTATTATAAATATTTTAAGTCACATTGAAACCAATTAAAATTGTTTTCTGGATGTGTAATATAAAAGCTAGGCCATTCTTCAGATCAATATTCCGTAGATATTTTGCAATTAATTTAACATGTGTCCATCATATTTTATCTAATAGATTTTTTTCTAGAAAGGACATTTAATGAGTCCAACTATTGAGATTTGGAGGGATTTTCAAAAACGTTTTTTTATTTTTTCATCAGAGAGCAAAGCTAAAGAAGGCAGCATTTGTATCATCCGAATTGTTGATGAAGCATTTGCGTTTGGTCACAATGCCCAAACTTTAACATAATCTACTTCCAAATATGATGTCCATGTTGGCAACCACAAATCGCTGCTCTTCCAAAATTTCAAATTGGCCTGAAAGCATTGAAGCATACATTGGATTTGATTAATTACGGTTAATTTAATTCGTATGATCATTGCGTTAATACTCTTCTTTTCAATGTTACATACCTGAGGGTCATGATCAATCCATGGCTTTAGCTTTCCCCTAGAAGTTACTCCATTTTTGTATGTATTGAATCCGCCAGGCATGAGACTAATATGTATATAAAACTGTAAAGATATTTAGCATTATATTTTTTGTCACAAAATGAATTATTTCTAGAAAAATAAATTACCTCCTTATCAAATGGTGCCATATATGTGCCTTTTTTCCAGGGACTGTTGCAATGATTCTTAAAATAATTATGGTTTACAAACCCTCCTTGGGGTGGTGCAACGAAATGTTTACATTCGCCATCAACAGTGATGGAAATCCCCTCTGAAACAAAAGATTTTATATCAGTTTGACTCACTGTGCAATTTTATCATTACATAAATCAATAAATTATGATATATTAGTTAATTGTCTTGTAAAAATCTTTTATTAAATAAAATTCTTTCTTTTTTATATATTTTCGTTTTCTCATTTAAGAGACAGGAATTTGTCAACGGAGAACCAAAAACTATTAAATTGTCTTGTAAAGTATGCTTGTGTAAAAACTTTTATTTCAATTATTTCTTCAGTCAAATAAAAAAATAATATTGGTTTAAAACGATAATAAGGAATAGCAGTTATGTGTGCAGTATGATAATGTAAATAAACTTGTTTTGTAGTGTCAAATATACAAGTGTTCTGATGCTGGAACTCTATTCGGTACTGCTGGTTGGCAGTCTGCTGCTCTGCAATTTTGGATTTTGCCCTCTGCTAAAATACATATAAAACGTTCCGGACATGGAAAATCTACGATGCATATCGAATTCTCTATAACATAATGCTATTTTTTCCTTTTTTACAGTCAAGTGTCAAATTTCTGTATTTTACTTGGGTTTGCATGCGATTATTTTCGAAGGTGCGTAACTGCTCATAATAGAGATAATAGTTTTTCCACATTTTATGGAAACATCCAGAAAATAAAAAAGAACTCGACAATGAAATTTGAAGTAGGCCTTCGTTTTTGAGACTTTTTTCTTTTCAGTTTTTCATTTTTCATTTTATGTAGCCCTAGTTTTTTCATCGTGTCCTGCAATTATACTCCTATATTGCTGAGTACGTAGTAATTTGACATTCATTCTTCACCGAAACGTGTTCATAAACTGGTGATTATTCACTTCATTGTTGTTTTATACCACTTGCATTATTAATAATAATGCACGAGCTGCACAAACTTGCTGGGTGCGGAAGACCTTGCGGATAATGTAAGGTTTCAAGCCCTTCCTTAAACGACTGGCGCAAGCAATACAAACCCTTACCGGGAGTCCAATGAACGACGAAGACGTGCATTTCGTCAGAATAGCGTTTCCCGGGGTGGAAGGGACAATTCTTGTGGATGTAGAGCGTGCGAGAGCACGTCTGAATGTCGATCTGCGGGTCGTTGAGCAGGGCGCCGAGCTTCCAGCCCGACGGCTCGAACGCTTCCGGGTTGCCTCGCGAGCGCAGCGCCTCCACCCGCCCCGACGCGTACGGCTGCCTCCCGTACGCGCCCGCCTGCGGCTCCAACAACACCCCTGCAAAACGGCCATCTTCAAGCGACCCGCCTCGTGTCATCCTCACAGTTACCATACCGTTACAAGCAATAGTGGTCGCTAATGACCTAGAAGTTGATGTGACCTTAAATAACAAAAAAAAGTTATTTAAACCAGGGCGAAAAATTTTCGACAGAAAATCTCATATTCCAGTAACCCTAGTAACAAAAAATTCAGTTACTAAATGTAGAAAAAAAGTCGCACGTAATATAGCCAGATTCCATGTTTTGGGGGTCCTTGACACCGAATAATCGAATGACGGCAAAACGTCTGCGCGTCCGTCTGCTAACAACGCTAGCGGGAAAACTGTTAAGACGATTTTCTCCAAAATTGATATTTCCCAATAGATCTGAATGATGTCCCAACCCGTTGTAATTGATGCCGATATTTTAATTTTGGAGAATACTTTACATGAAGCCTATGTAACATTCCCCAAATTTCCAAAAAAAAATGGCTCCATCGTTTTTAATTAAATTGTGTTGGATAATGTTAAATTAAATTGAATAATGTGAAGGACGTTTAAGATAATGATGTAGATCTCATATTCGTTAAAAACCCTGATTTTTGGAAAATTGCAAAAGTTCAAAATATTTTCGGAGTCTTCCTACAACTATAATATTAAAGAAAGATATTTTCCCTTAATGAAATTTGTTTCTTAAATATAGATTTTAAAATAAAGTCATGTACAATTTTTCGAAAATTTGAGAGCTTTCGCGTAATTTTGCGTGAAAATACGGGCGAGAAAGTACGCGTGGTTTTACTACCACTAGTTTCCTTAGCCAGTTACTCCTTACGTCCCGATGGGACCAATTATAGACCGTTCAGGAGACACCTACTCACTTGCCGGCTCCTTTGATCTGTGATCAGAAGAACGCGAGGCCCTCCACGACAACACGTGTACGAGAGACAAGGGAATTCATTTCGAAGGCGGAATTGAACCCGCGAACGGAACCAAGTGTTGAGTCGGTACAAGCTCAAAGCCACCTCGGCCATCCTGGTCTGCATGAAGAGTACTTTAAATTAGAAATTGATGTTTATTCAGGAATATGATATCTTTGGAATTATTTGATGAATTGTGTGATTATGTGCTCATTTTCTCGTTCCTCATTATATGAGCATCAGAGATATGTCTTCCCTAAACACAGTTACCAACGATGTGGAGCTCAATATTATTAAAAAAAACATGTATTATATAAAAATAAAGAAAATGAAAAGTATATACTAAAACTCTTTATTCGCATTGACTCCGTTGGACTTACTGCTGATTCTGACTTTTCACATGTACGATTTCGCGTTTTTAATAAAAACTCAATCAAAAGAAATTTTTTATGGTATTTACATAATTTACCTTTTAGCGAATGTAATCCAAAGCAATGAGTACCAGTTACATCAGCAGTGTATCATCTCTGACAATACTATTAAAATATTTCAATCTTTTTACGTCATACAATTCAGAACATGACACATTGGATCTTACGAATAAAGTTATTCCTTAAGCTCAGTCAATCGCGATATTTTTTGTCTGTTCCTCGCAAATTTTTAGGTTGCATATCTCATCATATGTTGCACAGTGCTCTGTCCTCCAAAGAACCTTTGAAAACACTTCGCATATGCTTCCGCGCATACACGAACAAACACAAACACAAACACACACACACACACACACACACACACGGAGGCACGCACGCATGTTCACCTGTGAGTGAGTGAGACTGAGAGTGAGAGCGAGAGAGGGAGAGAGAGTGAGTGAGAGGTACTGAGAAAGTGATAGTGTGAGAGACAGCGTGAGTGAGAGAAAGAGTGAGAGAGCGAGCGAGAGAGAGAAAGAGCGCACACTAGAGTCCATTCTTTCTTCTCAATCCGATAAACGTGATCGTTTCTATACACATACAACTAGACCACTACTATAAATATGAAAAAGGTTCAATGTTGGTTAGATCACTATTATTTCATGTGGTTAGTTCAGTTTTCCTTAATTCTATGATTATTTTCGTTTAAAAAAATTAAAGACAAAAAACATTAGTTAAAATGTAATATTTTTTTAGTGTAAACTCTCATACGTGTACACGTTTTGCAGCTAATTAGTAATTCACTGTTATTATTATTATTATTATTATTATTATTGGGTGATGATGAGGGGTGAAAGGACTAGGATGATGGTAGGAGGTGTTAGGTAGAGTATTGAGAGGGTTTGTGGGCTTTTGGAACCATTCCAGCATTCGCCTTGTGACCGAGGAAAACCACAACAATGTGGTCAGGATTGCCGGCCCGGAGATCAAATCCGGAACTCCCGATTGCGAATACAGCGCGTTACGCACTAAGCCCCTTCGTTCACTTAATTTGTAGTTTAATTTATAGAAAAATATGTTTTTGCCTCTTCGGGGGAAAAAGTGTTTACTGGTTCTCCCTCTTCTGAGCAACTTATATTACAATATTAAGTTGGTTTCATTTGAAATATTTTATTTCAACTAACTATGATATACTCGTGTCATAAAAACAGTTAACATCTTCCTACCGCTTAGACGATTTTTGCGAGAGAAAGCGGAAGAAAGTGAAAGATATTTTGTTACAACCATAACTTCTTTTTTCTTACCCCAAAAAATTCATAATTTTCAGTTTCAATGGCAGCAGAATATGTTCACACATTTCATACACAATTACTGGTTTACTTATTGATTTTATTAAAAAATGTTTAGTGAAAATCATAAATGTTTCCCACCCCATCAGTTATTATTGTTACTTACTGTTTCATTATCTAAGATGATGTTCTAAAATGTGGAATTGCACACTCACTTTCAAATGATCACAACGTAATAAAAAAGGAATTAATATAATTTCATACTACATTTTATTTTAAATCATGATTTTTAATAAAATCAACAATTATCTATTACAAAACTCGTAGTATTTTTTATTACTGTCAATTCTCGTAGATATTCTGTTTGAACTTCGTAGAACCAATTTCCTTTTTGCAAACAAAGATTTGCCTCTCTAGCAAAGCAAAGCCTTCTCCAGGAGCAGGACTATGATTATTTTTTCAGAATATTACTGATAACTTACACAATGTCTACCTGAATATTAAAGTATTATTATTACAATACATTAATTGAGACCATTTTGGTATCAATAACAATAGTTTAAGAAACATTTTATTCAAATAAGATGATACAACATGAAAATGCGTTTCAATAATTCATATATTTTATGTATGGAATGTATAAACGGTATATGCGACTGTGACTATATCATTTAAATAACTTCAAGACAGGTCAGGTCTGGGTGGGGGCGGAGCCGGGTAAGGTGGGGAAACACTAGACTAATTCATTCCTTTTCTTCTAATAGATGATTCTGATTAGTAAATATTCGAGCAACTCAGGGTGTTTCAGCTAGTTTGAAATATATTATCTTGTCTATCTGTTGCATTTTTGTACTTCTCTCCTGGTTGAAACTGTATTAATTTCATCTTCGCTTCGATACACGTCATGCATTCTGTTCGGATGACATCAGTAAGGTTCGCTACTGTCCACAGCGCGCGCTGATTCCTCCTTTTATTGTCCAGTTAAGTTACGTGATCTTCCGTGATTTAATGCTCTTCAGTTTATTATGAGAATCACTTCTTTGATAATTAATTTGAAATCGTACTTACCTGTCTATTTCAAACTTTCCTCATTCTCAAAAATTATTTCATATCTTTACAACATATCTTTATAAAGTCATTTTCTTGATTGGCTGCCACTTTCCAAACTCCATTTGTGATAATAGATCTTATCAGATTTAATTGGAGCCAAAAATATTTGCGTGTTGGAATGCTGCATAAAAGAAGTATATAGTTAATTATACATTGAAGGCATTTACTCTTACCCTATTGAAAAGTTTATACTCACTTTCTGTTGTCTTCTTCAATAATTATGGCAACTCTTCTTTGTTCTTTCCTTAGTTCACGGCTTCAGCAAAATAGAATAAGATTATATAACTTCCGAATGACTAAAAATTCTCATTAAACCGTTTTTATGTGAATCTAAAAGTTATCTACAGGAACCACAATGCAAATATATACGTCGAGCCGTTGCTCTTTCCTTTCTACAGTATTTTACAATTCAACAATAACATATTTGCATCATATTTAATGTTTCTAGCTACGAAGAATAGGGAACAATTCTATTTTAAAAACAATCGCAATGTATCACGCTCCTTAAGAGGATTTAGACACATTGCATAAATTAGTGCAAATAACTAGAAGTGCGAGACTTTTTCAGGAAATATAATTGGTGGAGATATCAATTTAACGTATTTATCAAGGCGAATGATCGTAGATACAAGAAGCTATGGACAATCGCCCGTTAAGCAATTCGTATTGGACAACGGATTAACATAGGTAGTTGATGTTCCTAAAAGGGCTTGCGCAATGCTACATCTATCATATACATCTAGCAGTACATTTAGTTCGCCCGGAGCAGATGTTGATAACTCAAGAAACAACATAAGTTACCACGAGAATGTGTTACTGCAAATGACGTAGCAAGAAACTATAGACTCAAAAACACAAGAAACCTGTCATTGCTGTGCAATTAGGCAGATACAATAGGTTTTGAGGAATTATAGCGAATTATAGCACCTCTGAAATTCAATGTAAAAAGTGGAGGATAGCTGGAACTCTTTTAAACGAATAGTGTTGGAATTTATTTGTTCCAAGGAAGCTAAAGAAAATGATGATTCGGCACATTACCTGGAAAGTATTAGGAAATTGAAGAGAAACGTCATAAACGCACAGGTCTTCACTACGCAACTCTCTTCAATCATCGAACAAATTAATATAGCAAAAGCATACAGCGCAAGAAAATTATCAACGTAAAATTCTATTGAACAAGCGGATAAGTTGGCTATGGAAGTTAAGCAAGTATTTTATTGTATTTAACATATTTTTAGACATTTGATATTTACAAATAGTTTTAAAAAATGAAACAAATGATGAAAATGTATTTTTACTTAAACCATATTTGTATTTTTTAAATTCCATATTATTAAAATTTATTTACATATTCTATTCTTGGTTAAAAATTAACTTTTTAAATAATTTTTCAGTTTTTCTAATCTCAATGGTTGACTAACCGGTCACAAACAACCACTTTCTTCTGATTCTGAAAATGTCCTAAGGGTTTGCAGGTAACATTCTGTATCTTTGAAGCTGCTCAAATGCACGTTTTACTCGCACTTCTTCTCACAAATAAATTTTTTTTTCATCAAGCGGTGGAAGTCGAGCCTCCCACTTCCGACATTGATCTACAGTGCGCAAGAAAAGTCTCTCGCACTGGACAGAGTCAGGAGCTCCTATTAAAAACTGCAATGATGTTGGTATCAAACCGATCGGTGGGAAACAAGCGAAGGTGACAACACACCCGGTATCTGTTATGATCGTAGTGAGTGCGGTATTTACGTTTTGATTTGTTACACGCTGCTACCAACATAATTTTTGTTGCAAACACCATGGGGCCACTGCGGAGAGACTTTTCTGGCGCGCTGTATTATCGCCGCGCCGTCTGGGAGGGTATTCTTACGAGGAGGGGGATAAGGAATGGTCTGTTAACTCAAAGAATAAAATGTTTAATAATACTTCAATATTCGCTATCAATTCGCGTTTAAACAAGCGCCACACTATTAATGTAGCTGGAATTCGATGTATTTCGTGCGGGCAGACAGTATCGTAATCCGTCTACCAAAGCAAATCGCCCCTGCTTTCAGTTTGGACTTTGGATTTCTAGTTTATGCTCATTCTAGGGCATTTTCTCAGGATTCGGTCTTCAGCAACCTCCGTACGAGTCTTCCCAGAGAGAGGGAAGATGCAGGAAGAGAGATGATCGTTCGCACTGGCAGATCAAGGGGGAGTGAAGGGGCCATGAGTTTTTCGTATACTTTCCTTTACTTGGCAAAATTGAATTAATATTTTTACGTTCGAATTGTGTAATTATTTAAACAAAATTTTATATTATTATATCTACAGTACAAAAATAATATAGTACAATATAATAAAAATATGTTTAATATTTAACAAAACTCTACCCCAAAAAATGATTGGTTGAATTCGCTCCTGATCGTGCGGGATTATGAAAAGCTTGAATTAAGGATAAGATCGTACCACGATAGTGAAATTTTGATTTTATATTTCAATATAAAATGAGCAAAATACTCTTTTAAAATTTACGAGCATTATGAGTGAAATTTATTAAACCAGTTCATATTCATCAAGATAGGCATTGCCTACCCTTCATTTATTTATTTTTGATGTACATATTTATATTTTGAGGTATTAGGAATCCATCAACTCTTGAGGTCATTTGGGCCTATAAATGATGCTAGAAGTGAAATTTAAGTGAATGGGGGTGGACGAGATTTGATAGAAAATGAGAGGCCCAAATTCCACAAGGATTGTTCAGGGATCCAAACCCGCAGGGAATACGGCGGGAAGGCGTATGCGCTAACCTTCACTTCACGAGATCGATAACAATAAGTCACTTCATCAGACACTACTAGAAAAAAAAAGTTTTTTGACGTTCTTGATGCAAATACGGGTAGATGCATGCGCTCCTTGTCCTAACGCTCTAAAACTGAATATGTTCAGAGGTGCTTGAATATAACATTACGATCTGGTTATGAGGATGAGAGTTAATATACGGCATCTTGATTAACTTGATTCTGTTATGATCAAAGATTTTATAGTCAACAGCTATAAAAAGAAAGAAATATCACAGAGAAAAATTATAAATTATTCGCGCTATTAGTTCTATCTATAATCTTACGATATAACATTCTTTAACCAGAGCCAACAATGCCGTCGAAAGATTGGTATCGTTTTAATCGAGGGAGAAGTAACATTCACCAAAAAAATTGGGCCAGCAACATCTCATTACGCACTCATCTCACAATTCTATGTTCACCATACACCCTTTTGTATCTACCACAACACAAACGTTTATGCCGTTTTCTTTGAAATGCGAGATAAGGAGTTCTTACGCGACAACAGCCAATCGCCAGCCGCTGTCTTGGCGCGAATTTCAAGGCGCCCGAACTTGAAGCTAAAAGTGTCTTTGGTTGTTAACATCGCTGAGCGTGTGGGAGGTAGAATGTCCCAGCCTCTCGGTTTCCGCTCACACCACCGTTCCCCACCGCGGGTCCATGTGCACCTAAAAAAGACGTTACAGTGTAAAATAGTTTAACTGTAATATCACAAAAACTTCCTTTATCATTAAAAACATAGATTGGAACAAAATACCAATTTGAATCAAATATTAAAATACGATGTTGTGAATCTATATTTACAGTTTTTGTCTGCATTACCATAAAATATTTATTTTCTAAAATATTAAAGTTGAAACTTTGTGTGTGTCATAAATATTTTTTGGAAACACTTGTACAATGTCTGAATTAAACATGACAAACAAACAAAATTAAGTAAATAAAATGAATCATGATCGTTAACTACGTAGTACACTATTCAAATGCAATTTTTACATGTATTTTTAAACTCGCTTTATAAGAAAAATAGTTATGAATTATGTGATTTAATGACGTAAATGTTTTGGGACAAATCTATACTTTCCCTAAAAAAAAGTCATGAATACGTAGGTTAAATGAGAGTACAAGTTAAGAAAAATAGCCCGTCCGTTACAAAAGTATTCGAAAAGAAAACATTGAAAAATAAAACGTTCAGGTAGGAAATTCAAGACTAAGTGAATTCATTAGTTTCTTCTTCTTCTTCTTCTTCTTCTTCTTCTTCTTCTTATTATTATTATTATTATTATTATTATTACATATTAAATTTTTATTTTCGAAGTTTGTGTCACAAATTAAGGAAATAAAACGCTTGTTTTGAGAGAATTTTCTTTGTTTGAAAAAATACACTATGGATAAATTATCATGCTTAAGCGTTCTGGATGTGGTGAGTACAAAACCTTTACGTCAAATGCGGTATGTGTACTAAGTCTGAGAGTGATATAGTAAATAGAATGAAAAAGAATGAAGAAACGTTCTAATAATAATTTACTCCAAGCGAATAATTCCTTGAAGCGAATATTCTGGGAGACAACATAATGTTTACCAACTTAGAGTTAACCTCTGCGCAACAAAATCTGTGCTAAGAGCTAAGGGCTATGAAGTGAAATTTAGCTAGGAGACTACTGATTCATAAAAAAGTGCCGGGTAAAAGTCTTTTATATTCCAAATTCAGGTAGAGTCATAATGCCTATAAAGTTTTCCGTTGGTTATGTGCCATTTCACTTCCATTTTTTACCTCGTTTACTAAGAAGGAAGAGCCTTTTCTTTGTTGGTTTCTTAGTATCCAGACCTGAACGTTTGGAATAGCAGCATCTTACAAACGGAACTAGTACATAACTCAGAAAGACACACTAGCGCACGAGAATGCACAGCCTTTTAGACGCGGGTTCTTTTTACTTTCTCGCTATGCAGTTGAGAGAAAGTTATGTAATGCTGCGCGAAAAACGGCGCATTTTCGGCACAAAATCTCTTATTACAGACCCTGGTAATGAAAAAGTTGATAAACTTAATTGATTAATTCGGATAAAATAGCCTCTAACACGTGGTGCCGCCAAAATACGTGTTTTGTGGGTCCTTGATTACAAAATATAGAATAATAGTAAAACGATTGTCAGTTTGTCCGTGTTCGTCCGTCTGCGAACAACGTTAGCGGCTAAACCGTTCAGTCGATTTTCTCCAAAACTGATATTTTCCAATTCTTTTGGCTAATGTCACGACCCCTTGAATTTTAATTTTGGCGATACTTTACATAAAGTACCTAGGACATTTTTCAAATAAAAAAAAAATGACTTCATTGTTTTTTATTAAAATGTGTTGTTGAATAGTGAGAAGGACATTTAAGAGAATTGTGCAGATCTCATGCTCGTCGAAAACCCTGATTTTTCAAAAAGGCGAAAATTTACATTTATTCGGAGTCTTCATACAATTAAAATAGTAAAAAATAAATATTTTTCCTTATATGAAAAACTGTTCCTTAAAGATAGGTTATGAAATAAGGTCATGTACAATTTTTCGAAAATTTGAGTACTTTTCGCGTAAAATTGCGTGAAAATATGGGCAAGAAAGTGTCCTGTTTACCACCACTAGTTTGTTTCTTATGACATCTTTATGTCATCAGAAAAAAGTCAGGATGCTACCAAATGTCGTGGTCGGGCTTATCTTGCAAAGCCATTTATGTGCCGGATGTTAACATAATGTATACACCATTACCTCTGTAATCTCTGCTCTGGTCGTTTTACTTTTGATTTTAAGTGAAAGGTAATTCAGTATTCTTTAACCTAAAAGTAATAAAGTATTATTTAACAAAACGTAAAAAAGTATTCTTCACTTACTTTTCTAATTTGGTGTGAACAAGAAGTTCATCTTCAGTCAGTACAGTTGCTTTGATGTGAAGCTTTCCATCTTTCACGAAGCTGTTTTCCGGGTTATCAACATATGTAGCAAAATCTAAGTCCTGCGCCCACAAACATATATTTCACATATTTTAAATTACGAATACAGTAATTTCTCACTATTCATTCTTCCATGCTGTTATATTTCAATACCATAACAGTGTATCTCCTTTAAAACTTCTCTTCTTCTTGTATTTTAAATAATCTAATTACATTTTAGTGAGATATCTTTTCCAAAACACGTTATCAAAATAATGAAGTATATATCTAAGGATCATAACTATACTAAAGGAATTTGATTTATTATGGAATACAACGAACTTAAATATAAAATTAAATTTCAGTGCCAACAAAATATCATAAATAAGAGTTTATTTTCGAGCATTTTACTCTCTTTTGTATATTGAACGCAATAACATTGTTTTCAACAGACCGGACACACTCACCGGATCATCGGAAAATTGTATTCTATGTTTCCACAGAGATAAGTTTAAAGAGTTGAAATTTTCTTCCAATAGCAATTTCCCAGCACATGCAGTTCTACCATTGTTGTATGAAGTTGCAGAAGGGCGACAATTCGATTCCACCAGTTCTGTAAATGATGACGTTACGTATGAAATATAATTCAGAAAATACGCATTCAATAATGCACCAGCTAGTACCAATATTTTCAAAAATGTCTAGTACCGTGAATCGCTTGATGTCCTTCTCGGCGTTCCCCATTTTCACCCTTCGTTACGTAAGCCCAGTAGAAGACAACATCGCCTGGTTTCAGTGTTATATCCTTTGCTTCCAATGTCCAAAACCCATCTCTTGCCTCCAGAACGCTTCCTGTCACTTGCCCAGTTTCTCTCTGGACGATGGGTATGTTGACGTTAGCGTTGATGATGACAACATCGGTGCCAGGGGAATCTATGCGCACAGAATTTGCTAGTAAAATTCTCTAAATTGGGAACTTTAGTGAAAAGTATAGATTAGGTATAACGGATCCTTCACATGACTGGTTTCAATTTGCATGGCCGGAAATAAAACCTGTTTCAAGATGGAGTAGGCTCTCTGACACGCGCATGGCTAAAGCTTAAATCTTGAGGAGAAAAGCCATTTTATTTTTGTAATCACGTTGGCAAAATTACATGTCTGAGTTTAATACATGTTAACACATTAATGGGTAATTTTAAATTTGACAGATAAATGTTTTCTTAGAGAAAAACGACCAAACGCCTTACAATTAATAGTGTTGGCTACTCTGCAATTCTTCTAAGAAGAAGTAGGTAATTACGCACAAACTTAAATAGGTATTAACAGTTTCGGACTAATAGAATGCATATCAACGCATTTCTTATAAAGATATGCGTTGCATTATTCACGTTGATAAAACTCCTTTAAACAAACTGAAGTAAGTTATTTGAAGATGGAAGTCTACATATTTAGTTTGCAAATTTATTCATTTCTTTGACACGATTAATAACTAATATGTAATATATTTAATCACTGTTACGCATTTTATTTTTGAGGGTTCTGTTGAATCCTCTCATTTATAATAAAGATTCGCCGATATCAGGATGACGCATCCCCATAATCTTTGTTGAAATAATATATTTCCTTCAAGACTGTAATTCACACGTCATCATCGAAGCCGTAACTCGCGAGGCCACATAACCACCACACAAAACGACCACTACACGCAGCAATGGTGAAAAACACGAATCACTGGCTATTCAGCGGGGGGCGTGGCCACACCTGGCACGGAGATGCGGAGGCCCGTGGGGTTGAGGGCCTGGACGACGATGGGCGCCGAGGACTTGGTGACGTCGCCGCTCGCCCCTCCGAACGACGTCGCGCACACGCACCACAACAAAAGCAGCGTCGTGGGCGCACACATGCTGCTCGCTTGGCGTCGGCACGCGCACTGACCTCACGGACGCGGCGGCGCGGCGGATTGGCGACGCGGCCAAGGGCGGCCGGCTGTTGCGCTTGGCGGGGATCTCCGCTGAGGCGAGCTGTGAGCACACGCTTCGGCCTCGCGCACTGGTCCCAACGGACCAAAAACGTGGCCATAATTAGAAATTATGTAGAAAACTGTACGCATATGTGTATATTATTGTTTTGGGATCGCTGATTACGAATTTCATGCCAAAATTGAAAAATACAAAATGTTGGATCGAATATGGAGGATCGAATTTTGAAAAATATAAAGATTATTTTGAAACTGTATATTTAAGTATTTTAGGAATTGCTTATAATAATTTTGAAGTACAAATTTAAACATTCAAAATGGCAGATGAATATGTATTGTTTTAGATGCACAATTTTGATGCAAACATTGCGTTTAGATGTGATGTTTATTCATTGAACAAAATGGTTGTTAAAATGTGCATTTTCAGGTATCAAAGGCAAACGGATCACCATGAGACTTGTAGACGGCCGCATCCGGGCGGCGCGGCCCATAGCGAGCGGTTTGAGACAGGCCGGTTACGCTTTCCAGTAGTTATATGATAATACAAAAAAGGGAAATTATGTGCGTTTTCAATTTGACGTATTTATAGAGAACAATTGGAGCTTGCAGATAAGCTTAATTTCAAAGCGGTACTAAGTGGTACAAAACGTATAGACCTCAATATGCAAAAGAGGGATATGTAGAAAACGTCACGATGCTCGTGTCTTTATCGTCAAAATATATAGAAAAGTAAACTTGTCAGATATTTAACTTACCTTCAGATCTATTATCCAATCGGCAATATATAAAAATCCAAACAAAAATGTTAAAAACCGCCGTTTGTTCTGATGAAAACTTGCTTCACAATCTTGCGTAATTTTCGACGTTCAGATACTGCCAACTTCATTGTGGAGTATGAGAACGAAATAAGTTTGGAATGTCTCTCTCACGGTGGAATATGATGTGCCAACGACATCTGTATGCAGTTGTTGGTTCTAACCTCCACACATGAAGTTAGATTTTTTTGAATTGTGACCAGGTTTTTGGTCAGTTGGAACCAGTGTGCGGCGTCGCGGCGACGGGTTTGGAAGGGGGAGGGGTTGGGAACGCGGCAAAGGTTGGGAGGGGGGATTTCACGGAAGTTTCTTTTGTTGACGCGAAATGTTTAACCCGCCGGTATCTTTCGAGTTCAAGACGAGTAGGCTCGGTTTTATACGCTCCATCTGAACGAGTATCAAGGCCATTTTGTGTCTTGATGGTCTTCCAAAATGGAGACGATCGCCTTATGAGTAGAAAACCTTCCCATTTGGTGAAATATATAGCATCTCCCGAAGTTTCTTTATTTCTGGATGTGATGCGAGTGAACTACCGATTTCTCTAAACTTAAAAGCTGAAAGTAATATAATAATACGCTTCCCTCGTTTAAAGAAAATGAATCTTAATATTCAGAGATATCTATAGAACGCATTTTCACAATGAATGAAGATGAAATCCATAAAATAACTTAACTATCATTCATTAATCAATAGTTATATTTTCTCAGTATTTATCTTCTGTCATTTTATTTTAGTAAATATACTAGCATCACTTGTTACAGGTTTTCTAAAGTAATATTTCTCTTTTTAAATCTTCGATTATTTATACTTCGATTTTTTTAAACGTCCTGTCTCAAGATCACGCATGAAAAAGGGAGAAGGAAGGCAGACTCCAATAGGGAGCTGCAACGTCACTACAGCTCCAATGTTTACGGCTCCCTATTGGAGTCTGCCTTCCCTCTCCCTTTTTTCATCCGTGATCTTGAGACAGCACGTTTAAAAAAATCGAAGTATAAATATTTTGCGATTATAATACCTTTCAAACATATCTTTTTCCTGAGAAAAAAAACTTCAGCCGTACATTCTTCTGATATTTCATATTATTCAATTTTACCTTCTGAATCCCTGTTATTTACATTGGGCCCGCTGTTAGTGGCATGATCGCCAGTGTGCGGCGCCACCGAATTGCCACCTCGCGCTGAAGGAAGTGGCGAGCGCGGCCTCGCGGCAACATCGCCGAGGTGCGCCCGTTCCCGGAAGGAGCGCCGCCTCTCTCGCCGCCGGTTATTCCCCCAGTGACGCGCAAGAAGTGGCGCGCGACGTACAGGCCACGACGAAAATACCGCCGGGGGAAAAGTTGGGTTTTTGAAGCTATCTTTGGACATCAGCGCCCCTAGTGGCCAACATAATGTTGCATAGCTGAGTCGTGTTTTATAATCAATTTTTTATCAATTGTGAAGGAGTGCATGCCTGAAAATGTTCGTACATTTCGTTACATTGTTTGTAGAAGCACTTTTGATTTACAATGTATGGATGTACTTTATTTTTTATTTTAATATTTACACTGTTTTAATGTCTTAATTGGATAGTAAATAAACATGAAAACTATATTGAATGTAAAGGTCAATACATTTTTACTTTTTGTCAGCTACGGAAAGGAAATTAATACCATTTAATTAATTTTGTAGCGTGAGAAAGGAAATAATCGTCCAAAATCTAAGTTACTATAATTTTATTAACATTCCCAGAGTTAACTTTCGAGAAAACGCTTTTCCCATCTTCAGTGGGTCTCTAGCAAGGAGAAGCAAAATTGAAAATTTAACATAAAGGGAGGAAAAGAAATACTGTAAAATTATGTTAAAAAAATTAACAAATAAAATGAAATCAATAATAATTAAATAAAATTTAAAATGCTTACTGCCCAAGCAACGTGGATCACTTACAAATGTTCACAACATATTCGGATGAATACATAAAACTGAAAATCGTGCTGGGTATGGCTAGGTGGCAGACATCTTTTGAAATAGAGACAAGAGAAAGCCTAGCAAGGTGTGGAAGGGGGGAACAAGAACAGTGGAAGGGGTAGTCATTAACAGATACAACATTGACTGTTTTTCGTGCAGGAATGTTAATACAGGACAAAAAATTAGGAATTTAAAAAGCTCTAGATTTTAAAATTTTAAAAAATTACGATAAGTACATATTTTAAACAAGTTGACTAGGTGAGTTTTGCAGAAATGTAAAGGTCAAAAGAATGATTAGGAGCTAGTAAAATTATTTAAAATAGAATTGCTTTTAATTAAAGAATGGTCATTCGAGATAGAAAAATTAGTATTTTTTAAAAGTTATAGAATTTGCAAGTTCTCCAAAATGTTCTTTTTTTGCCTTTGTTGACTAAGTGAAGGATTTTAAAATTAAATTTAGGCTCAAAGGAATGGTTAAATTTAATCAAATAATTTGCAAAGGTGGAAGTGTTCAAATTTTTCTTCTAACATCTAATATGTTAATTAACTCTAACTGAAACTGTTCTGCCTGTTTGACCTTCATAGGCTGAATTACAGTTATTACAAGTAAGATGATAAATATCATTTCTTTTAATGGAGGGATAGGTGATTTGGAACCAGGGAATAAAGATTAGAGGGAGTTTCAAGTTTTGTAAGCTACTGAAATATTGTGTTTAGTGAAGCATTGGCCTACACATTTAGATGCTGGGTCAATGTAGGGGATGCAAATAGATTTTCTTGGTTCTTCAGGGCAATGTTGAGAAAATAGTTTATTCAAAATAATTTTTACATCTTTTTCACAGATAAGTTTATTAATGGACAGAGGATCATAACCATTATTTAACGCAATGGTTAGAATGGTACTGACTTCATTATTAAACTCTACATCTGATATAGGAACCTGGAACTCCTGGTTGATCCAGAAGTGGAAAAAAGCAAATATATGATGGGGAATGTGATTGGAATGGGAAGGAATGATTAAATCTGAGTGGGTTTTCTGAAAATTTAAAAAGATGTTTTGAGTGTTTTATGGCAATGGTTAAATCAAGGAAATTCAAGGAATGGTTATGTTCAATTTCCATAGAGAATTTTAATTTGGGGTGAAATTAATTAATAAAATCATAATACTGGCTCAATTGCCTTTAAGTTCCTAACCAAAGACATAATTTTATCGACATCATTGTAAAAATAAATAAGTTTTTGAGGAGAGGGTTCAAGCTACTTAATACGTTTTCTTCAAAATGATCGGTGAATATTTCAGCGAAAAGAGGTAAAACGTTAGAACACATACCTTTTGAGGCCTCATTTTGAGCCTGATAATATATCTTTTATTATTTTGTATCTTTAGAAAATTTTTTTTTGTGTTGTTTTTTTTTTTGGTATTCGAATAGATCTGTCATATCCAAAGGGTATTTACAAATGTCAAAGTTCTAATTTGCTGCCGAAAAGGCAGAAGAAAACGTTATTCTCATTAACCAATTGACTGCAACAATTCTTCTTATTTTTTTCCCGAAGCTTAAAAATTCATGTTTAGTTGCTTTTTCCGTTAACATTTGAATGAATAAATAATTGAAAAATTATGAAAAAAATTTCTTGTACCCAAAATTTAAAAAAATATTAATTCAATTAAATAGTCCCACTAAAGGTGACATTAATTTTTAAAAATATTTTGCCCTAATGTGTCCGCTGTTAATCCTGAGTGCTACAAATTGCAGATGTCAGCAAAAAATTATTTGGCGCTATATCAAAAAAAAATAAACAAACTAGCAGTTACTGCTCGGTTCGCATTTTCGAGAAATTGCCAACCCAGAAACAGCAAAACGTCATTACGGATCAAGGAAGAGTAGACTTGTAAATTACGAAGTTTCACAGGGATTCCCGCCGCATTGAGCTTACCTATCTGATGATGTATAAGCGTTCGAAAGGTGTGAGATAATCATATAACCTTTCTCGGGCTCTGCAAATCCCGAAAAATTAAATTTAAAATTTTTTTTCTAGATTGCGTAAAAGATGGTTGGTTTCAAAAACAGATGTACTTTCTCGTCCGTATTTTCAGCATAATTACCCGAAATTCTCAAATTTTTCGAGAATTAGCATGACCTTGCTTTCAAAAATATCTTAAGGAAACATTTTTCACGAAGAGAAATCGTCTATCTCAATTTTTTTAGTTGTAGGAAGACTCCATTTTTTTTACCCCTTTTCGATTTTCTAATTCAGGTTTTTCAACGAAGATGAAACTTGCACTATTCTTTAAAACTTCGTTTAAACTATCCAACAACAAATTGTAATGAAAAACCGATTAACCCTTTTTTTTAAAAAAAATTGGAAAAATGCCCCCAGGGGCTTTATGTATATTACCCCCTAAATTAATATAATCCGTTTCCAATCACGGGGCCACGACATATCCAGATCGATTGAGAGAAATGTCCATTTGGAAATGGCTGAACGCTGTTTAGCCGTTAGCGTTGTTCAGACGGACAGGCGGACGAACAGACAAACGTTTTGCCGTATTCTATTTTTCGGTATCAAAACTGCACAAAAACTTGAATTCGTCTACACCAAATGTTAAAAGGATCCCACCCCCTAAAATTACCACTACATTTTACAATTTTCGTTACTACGGCCCTGTAATAAGAGTTTTCTCCCGAAAAATTCCCCGTTGTTTCCCGTTACATTACATAACTTTCTCTCTACCTCCGTAGCAAGAATACTCATGTATTCGTGCGATGCATTCTCAGCGCAGCTTGAAAAATGTACGATCAATGTGGAATCATACATCAATGTCGAGCGTATTTTAACTGAGGTTCAGATGTTAGATTGAATATAGCGAAGTACATTTAAAGCAAGTGGCCACTGTTTTTCCGAACCTGTGCAGCCATTTGTCGGCATCCTCGGAATATAAATAAATTTTTTTTTAAGAGTAACCGAGAAAGTTTTCCTTACCTGTTTTACGTACTTTGAGTCAGAATTGTTAGGTTCTATTATTAACTTATATTATTAACATTTATGTTATTTTCTTCCGTTGTTTGTACAGCAAAATTTAAAATATCGTGTTAACAATTTACATGTTCCAATA